CACATACACATACGCATACACACACACACACACACACACACACACACACACACACACACACACACACACACACACACACACACACACACACACACAATTCAGGGGACCCCAAAACTTAAAAAATCCGTCGAAAACTGGAGGTCGAAAAAAATCATGATTCCTATACTTTCCTTATCTGTATACAGGTAGGAAAGTAATAAAGATAGATGAAAAATATACGCTGAGTAATTTAAAAAACAAAATTATTCTTAAGTAATGGAGAAACATACATACTCGATTATCTCAAAACTAAAAATAATATGACTAATATAATGAATATAAATTAATTCTGTTAATGCAATTAAAATTAAAATACTGAAACAACGTTCTCTCGATTTGATGATCTGAGCTACATGTTAATCATCTAACGCAATATTTAAAAAAAATTTAAGAGTTAAATTGACAAAATAGGAAAAAATTAAATTTAAGATAGAAAAACGAGTACCTATGGAATACCTATTACTTTAAAGAAGATGAATATTTATTTAGGAATATGATGAAAAACTGGTGAAATGAGAACAATTAAAAGAAAGAAAATTTGTTTAAATTTGGAAAAGAAAGGAAAATATTGAAAATTGGTATAGAGTTTGCTGCTGATGGGAGACATATTCGCGTGATCTGATTTGGGTAGTGAGAAATTTAATTGTATTTAATTCAGTATTCAATAGATTATTTTATGAAACAAGTTATTTGGATATTATATTTGGTGATAAGATAGGAAAATAATTGAAGATGACAAAATTATAATGTCATTTAATTTGATTATTTTGAATTACCGATAATATGCTACTTATTATTCTACAAAATGTATTTTTCAAAATTTATATATAAAATATATCTGATTTCTACAAAACAGGATGTTTTAGTTGAAAATTCAAAAATTATTAATGGCTATCATTAAAACACATAAGTTTTTGAAAAAAATAAGCCTTTAGGTACTTAGATAATTGGAACTTAGAGCTCGGAAATTGGAGAAACTGTGTAACTCGGACTTCTTGTTTCTTAGAGCTAAGATCTTAGAGCTTCCTGGAGCAACTACGTAACTCGGTACTTCCTATTTCGCAGAGCTTAAATCTTAAAGCTTCCTGGAGCAAGTAGGAGCTTCTTGACTTTTTGGGGCTTCTAGGAGCTTCTTGGAGGAGCTTGGAAGAACTAGGAGCTTCTTGAAGGAGCCACTACAGGTTTAGAAATAAAAAGAACCTCAGTACCGTATGTAAAAGTACATATACATGCCAGTTTGGAAATCTAACGGATGTATGCATAAACGGGACAAATATTAAAGTTACATCGTCTGAACAGAATATAAAATATTTATAAGGCCAAAATAAGTTATAGCAATAAGTTTTACATCATCTGAACAAAATATGAATTATTTATAAAGCCAAAATAAGTTAAGAGCCATAAATTTTGTAGCATTCATATTTTCATATAAATACTTCACCTTAATCTGCGAAGAATTGATTTACATAAACTGACTTCTTTTATAAGTGTACATTAAACATTTAATTTAAGTAATAATAATTGATCCATTTCACTTCCTTGAAATGTTTGGCAAGAGCTATTTTATACTTAATCCAAATAACCGTACTTGTTTTTGAACCTGCCGAAATTCAAACTTTTTATAATTGTCAGGATGTCGTAATTTATAACAGATCTCCCCACTTGGAGAATATTGAATAGCTCGCAAATCGGTAAAGACAGGATCCCCTTGTTTTCTCCCTGGTCTCAAAGAAGTAATAAATTTGATGCCATCATATTTTTTAAAATATTTGTAATCCAAGTTTTTTACTACATACGGTCTTGGCTTTTCTCGTGCATGTAGGCATATTCCTACATAATCGGCAGGTACGTTAATTACTCTATTATGAAGCTTTCTCTCAATGGTAGCATGCATTAAATCAGCTTCCATTTAAGTATGCCCTTTTTCGAGATATTTTTGTTCTATTATTGTGTTGTGGGTCATACTCAAATTAAGCAAAGAATTTGCTAAAACAACATTACGGTTTTGTGATGTACAGCCATCAATGAAAAGTATAATCTTCTGTCCTATGGTTAAGGAAGGAATGACTGAATTTTCTAAAAACTGGCATATTATGGACTAGTAATCATTTGCACCAACACCTCCAGCTGCTTCGTGCCATATAAAACAATAGCCATCTTTTGTTTTCATGTCAAACATGGTGAAGTTGTGTACAATCAATTTTGTCTTAAAATAGTAAGACGACACATTCGATTTGGGACTTAACAGCACTGATTGTAAGTCCATGCAAAATACCTTATGGTCAGACATTTTATCACTCTTTTGCTTCTCTGGCTTCCTTCTTTTTTTGTATGTGATTTAAATAGTTTTCGTTGCTTAAATTTACAACATCATGTGCGACGCATGTGTCGCATAGGTCCTTTTTTTGGTTTGAAAATGCTTAAATTCATGGAGTCAAATGTATGGTGGAATGTAGCTATAGAAGCAGTAGACTGCTTTTCGTCACACCAGTGTGTTTTATAAAATTTGTAAAATGCAGATTTGGTATGCCATTGGGGTTCCAGATAAAGTTTTGATGAGCTTGCCCTACAATAATGTGATTCAATTTTTGGAATGTTCTGAAAAGATTCTTTTAAAGTATTGTTTTGTTCAGCGTTTCGAACTAGTCTGTGGCTGTTAACTATTTCGCCATCTTTATCTTCATTTAAAGATAGACTTTGCTTCCAGGTTCTGAAAGATCTTTCCCCAATACATAAAGTGTTAAAAAATATATTTTTACACACTCTTATTTCTGTATCGGATTTTTTTAAATAGTATTTCCATGACATACTCCTTCTTGACTGGTTTTCCAAATTTCTATTTCTTTGGCGCTTTGTTGTTGATATTTTTACTAACATGTCGATGTAAATCTTTCTTTGATTCCAGTCTAAGTGCCAAAAATACTTGAAAATATCGCTTCTGTCTTGATCAGTTAATTTAAAACATTGTATTGCAGTATTTTTTGTTGAAAGTTTGCAGTCACATCGTTGACCTAATACTCTTCTGTCTCTTCTAATATTGTAATTCCAACCATTTTTAGTTTTCTTTTTACTAGTGTTTTCTTTGCCTTCTTCTCTCTTTTTTTATTAATATTTTCTCCCCAAGTATCCTGTGTAACATCATGCCTTTTTCTCCTCTTTCTTGTATTATCGGAAACGAAACCTTCTTCTCTACTATCTACTTCCGTGTTGTTATATTCTGTTACAGTATTAGTTATGTTATCATCTTCTTCAGTTGTATCACTATCTTCATCCTCTTGGATGTAGTCAGGATCCCTTTGCCTTTAAGTTTGTGTCAGAATACCGTCGTATTCCGAATTATTTTTACGAATAATTTCATTTTCA